GTCCGCCGCTATATCGATACTAACGATCATAACAAAGATCAGCTCCAATTTATCCAAGAAATAGGCAAGTATACAATCGAATACGAAGGAGATGGAATACACCAATTTACGAACTACCATGGATAAAGAAATCGTACGATTGAGTGATAGCACAATTCGAGCACAGGGCATTGAAAGCACCGAGCTGATGACTGGCACTACATAATGACCGACACTACTAATACGACGATGACAACACCTGAAGCGCAGACTGTGTTGAAGCGTAGACGGTCTATGCGCGAGTTGGAATCTTACGGAGTCTGCTGAGCTGAAGAGCTCAGTTGGAATAGGCAAAACTGTTGGAAATGTGCCAATAAAGTTTGAATATACATTTACTTCTTATCCATAACAGGTAAAAGATTACTAATGAAATTTGTGGAAATGCAAATCAGTGAAAATTTCTTAGATACTATTCATGTTTATTTAGGAAAACTGACCTGCATTCCAGCTATTAAAGTGCGACCAGTAGCGACGGAAGTCCACCAACAAGCGTCAAATTTTCGTTGAATGTTTGTTGCACTGCACTCAGTTGCTGCACAGGGAGGCTTTTCTAGAACAACCACGGCATTTATAGGACTAAATGCTGTGCTGATCACCCGTGGGGGAATGGAATGCGGAGGTTGGATAGTGAGTGTGGAGTCGAAACTCTCTTCTGATGTGCGTGATTTAATAGTAGCGTCTTGATCCAGCGAGGTGATACGGATATTTTCGTGACCTAAATCTGCATCTTTTACTCGGGCTGACGGACAACGCAGAACCACACCCCAGTCCATCGTGCAGCCCCCACTTCCGCGACTGGAGAAGTTGAACAGAAGTAACAAAGTTTCATTAGGTGCACCAAGGTCCAGCAACGAATTTTCTTCGCCAGATAAGGGATCTACAGTTGTTGGGGAAGACAACGGTACAGAAGACCAATGGAGCACGAAGCTATCGGGTAAAATCCCTCGGACAGTGAACAGGACAGAGAGAGAAGACTGATCTTGACGAAATCGGACAGGAGCCAAACGCCTGCAAAGCGTAAAAGTAGAACAATAAATATTAAATCATATTCTTATTGTGACTTTACCAATATACATATTGTACAACGTTTCACAATGAGTTCACATCAATTAGGACACAAGCTTTATGAACCAATGAAATCTTACGATTTTAGGATGCCATTCGCAAATCTAGGGTAGCTAATGAGGCCTATCAATCACAATGCGAACTTCAATGACAAAAAATTATTCCATGGTCAGTTTGTGAGATACTTCCAGGTCGGTCAGACCACAAGAGATGACCCTCGGAAATTCCAAACCGGAGCCTTTGAGTGGATAAAGCTTCACTTGTAAGACAGTGGACCAGTATAGTCGGCAGTGGGCGTATCGGGCTACGAAGTGGACAGCCGTCCCGAACTCTTCTAGAAATGTTACCAAACGACCAAGCATCTCAAATAGTACCCACTAAGGAAGTCCTGCACACAGCCTCCACGTGGCGCTGTTAACACTAAGGTGGAAGGACAAATGCGAATTCCCAGCGCTTTCAACAGAGTTGACTAACCACTGTAAGTCAGTCTAGGTAAGTTGGCTAAACCCTGATTTCAAACCACTTACCGTTGATGTAGGAAGCTCGTAATGGCACCAACTCCAAAGTTTACCACCGTAACAATCGCCGGCAAATGCGTAGCCCAAGGGCAATCTAAGGACCGTAGATAGTAGACTACATCCGAAAGGCGTATTAACTGATTTGCCAGTCAACGGGTTCCATAGGATTGTGGATTCCTCACTCCTCGTGGGTGAGGTTCTTTAACCAAAGGCTCCAAAGTAGAGCCCCTCTACTCCGGCTTAGGAAGCCGGGTAGTATCACGCTCACAATCCAAATATGGACTTATACATTCATGCATGCCTCGGATTTCTACACTCACGCAAAACTCGCTTTCTCAAAAACGGCACTTTTGTTCACCCCACCATCATACTACACACACTTTTTTAATAATCCCGCTAATGTAGATTTATGTAGTAGCAAGACGTTACCCTCCTCAGCAACTCTCTCAGGAGTGCGGCGTATCTAGGGACAAACTGTTCCGTTCCCTGGACCGCATTCTGCGTTCAAACTGGTTTCATTTCACGAAAAAACTCTAATGAGTATAGGACAACAAACGGATTGGGCCAGTAAGTCTGACAGTCCAGAGATCGATGTATTTTGGTTCTCAGACACAAGTATTCAAGATCCGAGTTCAGCAATCCGATTAACGTCTACTTCCAACTCCAAAGACACGTTTCATTTGGCGTCTCCAGGGGCCCGGTTGCATGAGCGTCTGGTCAAGCAGGTGTTGGTAGTACCATAAGCATCAGGGCTGAGGCTGCTGTATTGGACTGGATCCCGGTAGCCAGTCGATTATAAACAGTGAGACTCCGAGGTTCATGTAAAGTTAGCAAGCATTACCAAATAAACAGTGCTATTTCGTGCTTTTTGCATGTTCCCACAGACTGTAGCTCGGAAACAGTTGAAGATAGCTACTACCACATCTTACACGAGCTTCTTCTGAAAGCGCATGTGACGGACATTGTGATTTGATCAGAGACCCAAATGCACGCGTTGTTCTTTCGTCGTCATCCTGGAGGTCATCACGGTCTTAATCGCTATCGTTCAGATAATGGGGATGGGGTGGTAGAACACGGCTTACTCTTTGTTACCACAAACTCGAAGCGTCACCTAACCACGGGGCGTAAGCCCTCTTCGAAAGACGTGGGCTCAGCTTGATCACAGCAATTAGCTATAGATGGAGAATGGTGTATTAGAGTCGTTCGTGTTGGTCTGCTTGCTTGGATTCTGACCATGCACGGTGGGTGTCCAGTTGTCTATACGATCACACAGGAGCAAACGAATCAAATACAAACAGCTTGCCGCTGTCAAGATTATCGACCCGACAGTGCTGAGCGACCATCGAAACGAGTTTTCCGCAAAGTTAACTCCCACCCCAATAGCGAGCAACTATTTTGAAGTGCAAAGCGCTCGGCGACTTTACACACCGACTTATAAAACAATGGATCTCTTCCAACTCAGTCCCAATACCTGACGCACGTTTGGCCAACTCGGTAGACAGATAATATAACGAACACCAACTCCCTTTGAAACGCAAAATTGAGAAGAGCATATGAGACAACTTGGAACTATGGTAAGAGTTATGTGCAAGCGAGATGGAAGCGGCAGCTAGGTGCAGGAGCATCCAAAATACGGATATGTCGTCATCCGGTTAAGTACCACCGTTTAGCCGTTGAGACCTCATGTGCATCGCCACTCCAAGTCCCAGGGCA